CAGCCCCAAACCGGCTCAGGAAACAGGGAAAAAAGGCCACAGGAAAGTCAGCCAGCACAAAGAAGGAACAACCGGTACATGAAAAACAGCCAGGGCCACGGGAACAGCAAAAGCCCAAGAGAAACTGAGGGGGCAAGGAGGAAACCGAGAAGGCAGCATGGGGAAGGGGAAAAGCCAAACTTTTTCACACATAATGAGCTGAAATTAGTAGAGAAACCTTTTTGAATTAATGAGCTAAAGTCACAACTTAAGCATTTATGAGCTAGAACCAAGTAGATCCCAACAATTAGCTCCAAATCAAAGCAAACAAGGCCCAAACCGAGAGCCCCAGCAGCCCAAGGATCAAAACAAATTCTCATATTGTTTTGACCCCCCTTTGCATGCATCAGATACTCCCCTACTTGAAAAACTCATCTCCGGATGAGTTGTCTTTTGATTTGATCCGAGGAGACGGTGAAAATGCATCTAACTCTTGAATCTTTGCCTCATACTTCTTCAGGATTTCATCTCGCTCTTGCTTGAATTGTTCTTGCAGATGCTTCCTTTTCTTCAAATAATTTTCCGTACTCATATGCATCTTTATCTGTAGTTTGAATAATTTGTTCTGTATCGGATCTGTTGAATCGCCTTCTGTTGGAACCCATCTGTTCATAGGGATTTGAAATTCAGGAACACCTGGCTGATTTTCTCCCACTTCTGATTCATTGATTTTGTTGTTTTTCATTATTTTTTTCAAACACAAAAAAAAACACAAAACTTAAAAGACACAAACCTAGGCTCACATGACACACACAACAACTGCTATGACTCACCAAGACTTACTCGCCAAACCGGGATAAGAACTTGCTCTGATACCAAATTGATATAATAAAAAATAAGCAAAAAATTAGGCCAGCCCTAATTTTTTACTAGAAAAGACATTTCCTTACTAGGATAAAGAAATTACATAAAGACACTTTTGAAATAACAAAAAAAAAAAAACAACTTTATATCATATAAAACGACCATACAACAAAAGACACTTACAAACGACTCAAACAAAACATCTAAAGTTGTATTCATCCATTGAGAGAAGAAAGATACAAGTGGGGTGGATTCTTGCTGATAGAAGAAGATGTTAGAAGCCAAGACGAAACATAGGAGAAGCTCGCAAGCATTCCCAAGAAGAAGAGAAGAGATAAATGGAACAAGCTCGCAAGCTTTTCCAACAAAGAAGAAAAACCTCTCAGGTTTTTATCCAAAAATCACATTATATCACACACTTTTTTTATTCCAAAACATATACTATTTATAGACCAAAAGAAGGCAGCTAAACAGCCCCTTAAAGCATTAATTAAACCTATTAGATTTAGGGAAAAGAAAGGCCAATAGCCACCAAACAGCAGCCCCAAACCGGCTCAGGAAACAGGGGAAAAAAGGCCACGGGAAAGCTAGCCAGCAGCCACAGAAAACCCAGCCAGCACAGAGAACGAACAGCCGGTACAGGAAAAACAGCCAGGGCCACGGGAACAACAAAAGCCCAAGAGAAACTGAGGGGGCAAGGAGGAAACCGAGAAGGCAGCATGGGGAAGGGGAAAAGCCAAACTTCTCCACACATAATGAGCTAAAATTAGTAGAGAAACCTTTTTGAATTAATGAGCTAAAGTCACAACTTAAGCATTTATGAGCTAGAACCAAGTAGATCCCAAAATTTAGCTCCAAATCAAAGCAAACAAGGCCCAAACCGAGAGCACTAGCAGCCCAAGGATCAAAACAAATTCTCATATTGTTTTAACCCCCCCTTTGCATGCATCACACTCCCTCTTTCTATAAATGAAACAGGGGCTAGTAGTTTTCCAATGAATCCAACCCCCAACTTTTTCTCCATCTCTCTTTGATGTTTTGTTTGTTCACCCCTCTTGATTATCTAATGCATTAATCAAGTGTAGTGTGACTGCTAAGCGAGCAACATAGATCATTAACAATCATTAAAACATTATAGAAATTTAATCTTTTTTTTTTTTTGGAATTTTAATGGCTTCATATAGTTTCTTTTTTGTTTGCTAATTCCATGTGGATCGTTTACACTCATCTTTTTCTCGCTATCCACCTTCCTCTTATCTCCATAAATGATGGTGTTTGTCTCTCTCCTAAAAGAAAGAATGAGAGTTATATATCCATAAGCAGGGATGCGGCTATTAGCATCTCATTTCTAAGCTCTTTCTCTTTCTCTTTATCAAGAAAGAGCGAGATATTAGTGTGATCTAGATCTAGAGATTGAGGAGATCAAAGTCCCATTTTTTTCCTTCATTTCTCTCTATTGAGAGAGGTTGAATTGAGGGGGGTATAATGTGAACTAATGGATACCATTCCTTTTATGGATCTCTTCAACTTGAGCATTATTCTAATGAACATGTGGACTAAGGGAAGGATATAGGGACCATTCATTTTGTAAGTCTCTCTAGCTGAGAAAGAGGGAGGGCTCACCTTCATTTTTGTAAATCTCTTTACCTGAGAGGGAGGTAGGGAGGGATGGGCCATTCTCTTTGCAAGTCTCCGCAGTTGAAACCATTCCTCTAATGAAAACGTGAACTATTAGCACCCTTGTTGTCATAAATTATTTAGATTTTCTTGGATTGGTCAGCTAGGGATTTGTGCTCGCTAAATAAATTTAGGCAGGCTAGATGATTTGATGTAATATTGAGCCTCTACTATTTAAACTTTTATTGATCAGTCAGCCATGTATTGGATGATTGGTTGTCATGTTCAGCGTCCGTTTGAATTGGTGCTCAACGTACCTTTGAGGGCAATGTGCACTTCGGGGTCAATGCTATTGTGGCCTGGAAAGTAGGAGCTCAGTCTTTTTGTTTTAAGTACTTGATGCCATGAGTTGAACATCTTGCAACCGAGATGCAGTCTTTTGTTTTATAAGTTTGGGAAATATTTTATGAATCCTGCAAAAAATATTTTTAAGAAAAGAAGAGAGGATATTGTATAATTTACTGTAAAGCATTGTGTTTTGCTTTGTTAGGTGATGACATATCACATGTTCTACAACAACTTATTTTATTATTTTTTTTCATTTGAGCTGTTTGATCTCAAGCTCACATGTCATCACATTTTGAGCTTGCTATTGGAATTGCATCTTGAAAAACGAGCCCATAATTTACAAAGTTAAAAAAAGAACAAAAAAGCGATTAATTAATTGGAAAGAAACGTAAAATATGTTACATAAATAATTCAGTAAAATAGAGCTGCTCACGTGACAGTTCTCACACCGTTGGATATATGGCAATTTCATAAATTTCACTGTTTAACGTGATACTTGGCTTTGTATTAGCAAAAGTTAGTAAAGTTGCATTTCGTATTTTGTTTTAGCTTTTGATGAAAATTTGTAAGTGCAATATGTTAGTTTTAGTGAATAATGCTTGAGTTAAAAAAAAAAAGAATCAGAAGCGAATTTGCAGAACATTAATTACTTGCATGAACTGGATGGTGCAATTATGTGAAGAACCACGAACTTGAAAGATAAGAGCAGCAAGTCCAGAAGATAAAATCTTGAGCCTGACTCTTCTCAATGCTATGAAATGGAATTCATTAATCAAGCAAGTAGTTGGCTTCTGTCAAAAATAAAGAATGTTTTTTAAATTCCTTACCAGCTTCCCGTTGTCATCCTTTTAGTTGATGTAATTAAGAAATAATGTGAGAGTGGGCTTGGAATAATGATTTGTTGTCTCTATTATAACCTATAGGTTATAGATTTGAGTCATGGAAACAGCCTCTCTGTTATTCAGGAATATGGTTGTTTACATCAACCCTCTATAGGCTCTGCATCAGAGGGAGCTTCACACACTGGTTGCACCTTTTTTTTTTTAATTAAGGAATTTCTACTGATCTTTGGAGTATTTGATTTTTATTAGTAATTGTACACTTTCTCAACCCCTTTCAAATGAAAAAAAAAAGAGTTAAATTTGGTCCTATACATTTATTTTTTCCATTCAGGCAAGCCTCCATATGCTTGTGTTGTCACACATGGTTTTGTATTAGATGAGAAGGGCCTAAAAATGAGCAAGTCTCTTGGTAATGTCGTTGATCCTGAAATCATCATTTCAGGAGGGAAGAACAAGGTTTGTCGGTTGTTCGCTTCAGTTTTGTTTAGCTCCAGTCTCTTGTGACTTAAGATAGTTTTTGTTCCTTGATTTTTATTTACAGGATGAGCCTAGCTATGGAGCTGACGTTCTTCGCCTTTGGGTATCTAGTGTGGATTATACTGGTGATGTCCTGATTGGTCCTCAGATACTCCGTCAGATGTCTGATGTATACAGAAAATTTCGAGGAACACTTCGATATCTTCTATCAAATCTCCATGATTGGAAAGTATGCTTATGCTGTCATATTTGTATTTCTTGCCTTGGAATTTGTTATATCTCTCTCTCTTGTTTTCCCCTGAAATTTTCTTTCATTGTTTATGCTGTTCAACATTATAGTATCAAATATTATTATTTAGGAATTTTGTTGCTTTCTTGAATAATGGTCAGTCATGTGCCATTTTCTTTTTAACACTTCAGTTATCAACTATGTAGTTGGCACATGATTGGGTTGCAATTTACATGGCACACTATGAATTCATTACAACGCTCCCTTCCTGTAAAAATACCTGGTTCACGAACACAATGGTGTGCAATTTCCTTGTCATGAATGTTTTGTATGTGTTTTGTGAAAGGCTTGTGCAGCTTGTAGATGTGAGCTTCTTCATATATGTGCTTCAATTGCCATTTCTTTGTCTTGTATCATGTACGCTATCTTATGCTTGTAATTTTGTTCTCTGCTTTACAGCCAGGAAATTCCATTTCTTATGATGCTCTCCCCAAGATTGATCAATATGCATTATACCAGCTTGAAAATATAGTAAAAATCGTCAAGGATAGTTATGATAATTATCAGTTCTACAAGATATTCCAGGTACATTTGTCTTTGAGAATTCTGCTATTCCTCTGTGCTCAAACTTTTTAAAATTGAACTGTCTTCTTCATTCTGTTGGAATAATTGAGTTTTCTCACACAAATTCCCATTTGTTGGCTATTAATGTTTCATTAATGAGAATTTTTTTCTTAGGGACTTTGTTTTTGCTGAAAAAGGAATGCAGAGTAAAAGGAATATGGTGTAAAATAAATATAGTGTACTGAAAATATTTTTAAGTTAATTGATTGAACACACTATAAATGTAGAAGTTTCCTTCTTGGTGTTTAGTTTGTAGTAAAATTAATTCAGTGTAAAACCTGGATGCAACAACTACTAGCAACGGGTGGCATTGGCACCCGGCGATGGGTTTAGGGTGTTGTTAAATTCAAAAAATTGGAGAGAGAAAATGCTTAATTTTATTACACAAAACTATTCCTATTTATAGATCTATACAAGCCGTCTTAATAAAGAAATAAATAACTACTGAATCATGCATAATTGTCTTAATATAATCCTTCTTAAATCAGCCACCCAAATATAGAAGGAGATCGACGTGATCGTGGTGAGCCTCCCACGGATTCTCATCTTGGCCGTGGGATCAAGCGTTAAGGGATGGCTAGGATTTAAAAGAGATCGACATGATCTGGATGAGTCTTCCACTGTCCCACGGATTCCCATCCTGGTCGTGGGATCAAGTGTTAAGGGACGGTCAGGATTTTAACATTCCCTCTCAAGCTGAGGAATACATATATGTCATTCCCAGATTGGTAATTAGTCACAAAAAAGTAGAGTTATCAAGTCTATTGGTGCTTCATGGATCCCTCCATTTGGTCTAAACATTGGGAAAAATTAGCTTCAAACATTGCGGTGGCAAAGAGTAGCAATGAAGGTTATATTAAGCAGGGCAACAATGAAGATTGCATTGGTTATAGATAGTATAACAACCACAAGATAAAGCCGACAATGAAGGCACGACAGTAGGAAAAAAATTTAGGGTTCTAGCAAGATTCAAGGATAGTAGCAAAAAAACATGTCTCCAGCGGCTTAGCACTTGCCACACAAATCTCCTACCGTCTGATCGAGCTAGCCTTTAGCCCAAGGCAAATTAGTCGTCCGATTCCAACTGAACATCCCTGTTTGATCGACCTGGTACATGTGGAAGTAAGGCCTCTGGTCCTTCTAGTCTGATCTAAGGAAGGAGGGTAGGTCTCACACTCTTGCTTGTCCCGAGCTTAGACCCGCACGAGAGGGAACCCTCAGCTCTTTCCAGACATACTCAAGAAGAGCTCTCTCGCTCAATCTCTTCTCGGTCTTGGACGCACGAAGGAAGCAAAGGATCAATATTCCTCATAATTCCGACAATGAAGGAGTGGTGGGAACTTGTATTCCTCATAATTCCAGCAATGAAGTCCAATGGTGGGAACTTGTATTCCTCAGAATTTCAACAATGAGGCTGGTGGTGGGAACTTGTATTCCTCAAAATTTCGACAATGAAGACTAGTGGTTTGAACATGTATTCCTCATAATTCTGGCAATGAAGGCTGGTGGTGGGAACTTGTATTCCTCATAATTTCGACAATGAAGGCCGATGGTGGGACAACAATAAAGCTAATAAATAATTCTTCCAAATCCATAAAATCGAGAGCAAACACGTGCTCAAGAGGCTCTCAGTTCTATTCAACCCATCTAGATCACATGCATAGCAACTCTTCAACTGCTCGTTCCTTGCTCGGTTCGGCTCTAGCACAAGCATGAGGGCCAGTCATCCTAGCCTAGGCACACACGCATGCAGTTCTTTCTCGCTCTCTCTCTTGATCCTCTTCTTCACTCGGTTCAGCCACTTGGTAAGCACGCACGAGAGGGTGTTCCTTCTCTAGCCGCACGCAGAAGACCGAAAGGGGAAGCCTTCTCGCTTGCTCGATTGCTCTGGATTTACACTAGTAGGAAGCAGAATGCAAGAACCAGCTCATCCTTGATCATACATAGCGGTGAGCGCAATCTCGCTCAATCAGCTCCCAGACACACACTGAATCTTTTGGCCACATGCCTCTCTCATCCTGTTTGGTTGCACGCATACGAGAGGGGTTTACGAGATGTTCGTCTCTCTTGATCGAACACAGAGACCACGGGGCTCTTGCTCAACTCTTCCAGACAAGACGCACTAGAAGTTTGCCTCTCTTAATCAAACAAAGAGACTGAGATAAAGTACTCTCCCCTCTTGGTTGGACGTACATAGGAATGAACAAGCCGGAATACGATCCCTTTCATTTCTAATGGGAAGGCTGGGCATTCGCTTCAGAAATTCCAGCAACAAAAAAACTTGGAATTCCAACCATGGCAATGAAGTCTCTGATACCATGTTAAATTCAGAGAATTTGAGAGGGAAAGACTTAATTTTATTAAACAAAACTATTCCTATTTATAGATCTATACAAGATGTCTTAATAAAGAAACAAATAACTACATAATCATGCATAATTGCCTAAATATAATCCTTCCTAAATTAGCCACCCAAATATGGAAGGAGATCGGCGTGATCCTGGTGAGCCTCCCACAGATTATCAGCTTGGCCGTTAATGCAATCAAAAATTTGGGAGAGGGCCCCAAATTTTTGATCACAAAAGAAAAAACTTTTCTAAATAATAGAAAAGACACAAAAGGGCACAAAATAGGATCAAAACAAACTTTACTTATATAAAATGAAAGACTTACAACTCTTAAAATTAAAACAACTTACAAACAAAGACTCTTACAAATGACTCAAATAAGACAACCTAAACTTGCTTTCCAAAAGAAGAGGGATACAGATGAGGTGGTCACTTGCGGAGAGACGAAAGAGGTTAGAAGCCAAGACGGAGGAGGAAAAGCTTGCAAGCTTTCCTAGAGGAGAAGGAGAATGGAACAAGCTCGCAAGCTTTTCCAGGAAGAAACCCGCAAGTTATAGCTTCCAAAAATCACATTTTCACTTGCTAAAACAGCCACAAACAACTACTATTTATAGACATGAGAGGGGAATACAAACAGCCCCAAAAACTCTTCAAATTCTTAAATTAAATGAGGGAGATGAAAAGCCAACAGTCAACTTAAGGAAACAAAGCATCAAAGCCAAGGAAAAGCAACCTAGGGAGAACCCGAAGAGGCAGCCGCAAAAGCCAAGGAGGCCCGCACGGAACCGAAACACCAAGGCATGAGAAAGGCCACCCAGCACGGAAAACCAGCAGCCAATCGTGGGAACCAAGGAGCCAAGGCACGGGAACCAAAGGGCCATCCACGGGTTTTTGCAAGCAAATGATACTCTTCCTATAACTTAAAAGATACTCAAAACATTACAAAAATTACATAAGATAAAGCAACAACACTTGCACAAAACAAAACACAACTTTAATATTATAAAAGGCCTTACAAACGACACATAAACTTGGACATAAACACCTTACAAACTTGGAAACATAAAAACACCTAAAGTTGCTTGCCAATCATTGCTTTGAGAAGAAGGATACTGGTGGAATGAAACTTGAGGAGAGACGAAAGAGATTAGAAGCCGAGACGGAAGAGAGACAAGCTCGCAAGCTTTCTCAAAGAGCAGAAGTAGTGGACAAAGCTCTCAAGCTTTTCCAAGAAAAACCTTCAGTTTTTCCATTCCAAAAATAACATTCTTCACTCTCTTAACTAAACTTAAAACATCCACAAATATCTCCTATATATAGGTATATAAGGGAAGCCAAACAACCACCTAAAACTCATTAAATACCTTAAATAAAAAGAGGGAAATGAATGGCCAACAACCACAAAACAATTCCCAAACGTTACAACAAAAACAGAGAAGGAAGTCCACGGAACCAAGCAGGGAACTGCAAAAACCGAGCAGCCCAGAACGGAACCAAGCAGAAGCAGGGAACCGCAGAACCGAACAGTCATCCACGGAACCGAGGAGCCAACCGTGAAACCAAAGGGGCAAAGGCACGGGAATTCTTCCCAGCACGGAAAACCAGCAGCCAACCGTGGGAACCAAGGAGCCAAGGCACGGGAACCAAAGGGCCATCCACGGGAACCAAGGAGCCATCCACGGGAACCAAAGGGACAACAAATGGGGGGAATGAACCTCAATTTATGAGCTAAAAAGGCTCTCTACTAGACATTAATGAGCTGATTCTAGTAGAGGACCTAGAAGCTCACCAAATTTATAATTCAAAATATTTTGACCCCCCCTTTGCCTACATCAGCTGTGGGATCAAGTGTTATGGGATGGTTGGGATTTAACAGAGATCGGCGTGATCTAGATGAGCCTCGCACGGATTCTCATCCTAGCCGTGGGATTAAGTGTCAAGGGATGACTGGGATTTTAACAGGTGGTAGTGGTAATGTTAGTCAACGATGCTTTATACAATTTCAAATACATTAAAAATGAACTAGATGTGAATTCTAAATACTAGAATTTTACTCTACATTTGATTTTCCTAGCAAATACCATAATTTTCAAAATTCATATATTTAATTTAATTTGCACTTGAATTACTTTTAACCAAATATTCCCCCTAATAACCATGATTGGCACAAAATGCTATTGCAAGATGTTTGATTTCATCATCATTAATGACTATGCTATTTGACATCACTCGTCTGCTTGATTTATTTTACCTCATGAAGTTGAATTTTTAGCATCAAATCTTGTTCACGGTTTCATTTAACTTCCATTGAAACATTCTTCAAGAACTTTTATTTTGATAGCTAATGTAGGTTTATTGCTTAGAACCAAAATGATGTGCCGACCATAAATCTCTTCTGAAGTTTCAATGCTTCATGGAGTTCAACCTCGCCATTCGTTTTTAAATTCATATCACTGAGAGATAATCATGGTGAGAAAAATCACTTTATTTGCGCTAATTGTTGTTTCAAGATGTTTGATTCTAGTATCATCCAGAATATTTGAAATTAGTTTCAAGACTCTATCAAAGTATACCCAACAATTATAGTGGGATCATTTTGCCTCATTGAGATTTTTCCTGCAAATTTCTTTCACAGGTTTCAATGAAATTGGAGAAACTTTCCTGAAGTACTTTCTTTTAGTAGCTTGTATAGGTTTGCTGCCTAGGTTCAACAATGATCTTCACGGAAGGTTCTTATCACAAAGATTCTTATCTTCAAAGCTACATTGTGGTAAAACTCACTTTGATTGAAATGTGCAATGGAATTGTATAATTTATGGAGATTGAACGAGAAAAGGGAGAGGGTGGATGGGTGCGAAGGTCATAGAATATCATTGAAATCTCAAGGCAAGTTGAATTCTCAGAGCATAAAAGAAGTGTGAATCCTCAAGTCTTTAAAGAACTGAAAATTTCATGGAACAAGTAATCAATATAGTTCATTAATTTGATTTTAATTTCATGACTCTTGACACTCTTTCCATTAGACACTTATTCAGATGACAAAGTTATCCATACTCTCATAAGGAAAAACTAAATTAATCCTAAAGAACAAATGTTGCATCTAATTATTTAGATATGACAAATAAAGACAAATTGAATGTAAAATAAAAACAAATACACATAAATAAATGACATGAGCAGGGGCTAGAAATAGTTTGATTGACCTCCATCAACGATTGTGGATTGTCTGAATTTTACTGGAAAGTTGAAGCTTTTGGAGGAAGGATCGGAGGTTCCCTATTCGTTTGTTGAGTTAGTAAAATTCATCCGCGAATAATTCTTCTTAGGGAGGAAGAAACAAATAATAAATCAATCTTAAGATCAAGATGATGATTGATGACTTGGAGTTTCATCTTATAGTAAATTCATTTGAAAGTGAGAGAAGCGGGCTGTCTACATTTGTAACAATAATAGCAAAAGATTCATGATCTAAATCGTTGTGAAACACTATTACATAGTAAGCTCTAGAAGAATGTCCTTGAAACTTTGAAGTTTCTTATGCACATTAATAAACTAATTGAACAAAAAAAAAAAAAAATTCCCATTTGGGCATATGATTCAAAATAGTTGGATTGATGAAGTAGATATAATTGTATGGTTAGTCGGGTTGGGCTAGTTCGATTGGGTTGGGATGGGTTGGATTATTTGGGGTTAATCTTGATTGTTTTCAAGCTAGGGTGTGGGGCTTGCAGGATTGGGTTGTTTTTAATTGCAATTGACTTGATAAATAATTTACTTTTCTAGTTAGAAAGAGGCCTTAGTTAGCATTCTCGATCAAACGAGCGAGCGATGATTGTTTTTGTGAAAAATAATTGATTTAGAAAAATATCTTAGGGATAAACTATTGTGAGATGTAAAAGGTTGGTTTGTGTTTTCACTTTCTACTAGGCCTTTGAAAGTTGATTACTGCTTTTTGGGTTAATTGATGATTTCAATTTGAAAGATGCGGTCAAGCTATTTGCATTTAAGGTTAGGGAGAACGTTGGATTGGAATTTTGAAATTTTTGAGGATGGAGAAATCTAATGATATGAGTTGGGTAAGTTGTGATTTTGAATGTAGAGTGAAATTTGAATGGGAGTGAGAGGGAGAGGGAGAGAGGAAGGGAGGATATCATCTCACCAAGTGTGTTGGTACCTTGCTGCATAAAATATGTAAAGACACTTACAAAAGCTGTTCTCTTTTTTATTTGCCTTTTTTTTTTATAAAATTGGCATCTGATAATCTTCCCTGAGGAGGTAATACCAGTTCTGATAGATTTTATTATTATTTTGAAGCTGCTACTATATTCATAGCATATGGGCTTTCGTTTTTGATGAATAAAAAAGCAATCCTTTCAAAATAGAGACCTTGTGACAAATTGAAATTCGTTACATGTTTGGAGTTTCTATCTGCTTATCTCTGAAAGTGGGGCAGTTGGTGGTGCTTATGTGTCATTTTTTGTTGAATTTTTCTTATTCTGTGGGTGAACTCCTTGCAGAAGTATGCTACAAGTACAGTTTAGGCCCACCTTATTTAAATTTTTTCCATTTGGTCCTTCAAGCTCTTAAAACATTTCATATAGATTGTGACCTACCTGGAAAAATATTATACGACTAGGTGTAATTTCTGAATTCTAATTATGATTATATAGATGGTTGATAAATATTTAATAGTATTGCAACCTTCAGAAAATTTATTTGTTCAATATTCAATTGTAATGGTTATCTCGATTTTTATATATTATTTTAATTTCATATTCTTTATGTTAGATACTTTTACATATTATTTCAATGCCATTTTCTTTATGTTAGATTCTTCAACGGTTTGCCATTGTCGACCTTTCAAACTTCTACTTTGATGTTGCCAAAGATCGCCTATACGTGGGGTACGTCCATACCCTATCCACTTAATGCTTTTACCATTAAGGAGGTTTTTGATATTTCAAACATTCTGCTCCTTGTCATTTTATTCATTGCTTCAAGCTTTTAGAATTCTTTATCTATTGGGGGATATCACTTTTTTAACTTCTATCACACATGGAAGGTTGGGAGTTCTCTCGATATTTCAATTTATTGATCAACTCATGAAAATTAACTATCACAAATTTGAACTATAAGGAGAGCTTATACTTGTCATTGAGCTGAGGATTTCCTTTAGCAAACTAGGACGGGCTCACCAATTATTGATATAGAATAACATGAAGTGATAATGCATTGTTTCCTTACAAATCACACATAAATTTAATCCTATTTTAGATACCTTTTTCTAGTGGAAAGCTTAGGAAATGTTTTTCTTGTCAATTAGCATTTTGAAGTTTTCTTCTTATGAGAGCCTTTTAAATGATTTCGGGCCAAAGGAGGATAAATTCTTACACAATGGAGGTTGCCATCTAATATGTTAAAAGTGAAATAGACTCGGAAGGAGAGATTGCCATCTTTTATTGGCGAGCCATGTCAACATTTTAAGGCTGAAATTAGATAACTACAATTGATATACCTAGAGTGCTTGAACATCGGTCAGAGCTTATCAAATGACTTAAATCCTTTTTTCCACCCTATTTTTATTCTACATCTCGTTATTATTAGAAATCAGCATCCCTCTATCGTAAAGAAAAAAAGGGAGCTTCTTTTGGCCTCTTAAGGAATGAAAAGAAGAATTTCCTCCAGCCTTTTGAGTGGGCATTCATATATAGAACGATAAGAAATCATATAATAATATAGAGCTGGGTATAATAGGAAAACAAATTAGATAAGTTATATGTTAAAGAAATATTAAGTATTTTGGAGTAACAGAAAAATAAGTTATGTGCTCAAATATTAGTGTAGAAGGAATGAATATGTTCTGGCACTCGATGAAGTGTTTTCTGTTTTATGTTGAAGATCATAGATACCTCATTTTTCATTATAAGTACTATTCATTGTATGGGTCCTATGGGAAACTCTTTTCAATTTTATTCTTCAAAATTACCAACCTTTTTTATTTGTTCTAACGAAGTTGATTTCTTTTAGAGGTTCAACTAGTTTTACAAGGAGAAGTTGCCAAACAGTTCTTGCAGCTCACTTGCTTTCGATCATTCAAATGATAGCTCCAATATTGCCACATCTGGCTGAAGATGCTTGGCAAAACCTTCCATTTGAACATGTAATGGATAATGGTTCTATAGCAAGATATGTTTTTGATCTGAGGTGGTCTGATCTAAATGAAAGATGGCTTTCAATGCCAGCTTCAGAAGCAGATTTCTGGGGTTCAATTCTTGAGGTAGCCAAATTTTTTGAACTTTGTCTTTCATAATTATCCTCCTTCATGATTCTGAAAGATTTGAGAATTTTCTTGGTTTGGTAGACTATAGAATGGCATTGCGCTATGCTTTGAAACCTTAATTTTTTAGTTCTTGTTTGTGATAGAAATGGTTGACTTGCATTTTCTTTTTCTTTAGCTGAAATAGAAACCCCAAAATTTAAGCACATGGGTTGAAATCAGATTCAAGAATGCAGAAGTATTTCCATGCTCTGTTTTCTGAATGCTTAATCCATTTCCAGACTTTACGATTAATGATGTTGGTAGATTTCTTTTCCTGTCCAATATTTTATTTTCCAATTGTTTGTGACAAAGGATCTACAAACCTTTCATTGTATGGTAAAGTAGTATTGCTTGGTAATTAATTCTGGGCAATTACATTGTTGAAGTTTGAATCATTTTTTACTTTGTTTTTGCCTGCTTTTCTTTCTATCCCTTTTCCCAACGACTATCTTTTTGAGTATCTTAGAAACTAAACTTAAATGTAGATTGCCTAGCATTGATTTCTAGCATTCATTGTGCCAACATTCATAGAAAGACCACTTGGAGTTTTTTGTGCAACTTATCTATAACATTGAACAACTGTCTTTCGGCTGTAGGATGTCAGATAAATTGCCTTGAAACATTTTTATTGTGGAATTATTATTCACTCCGTACTATATTTGATCAAATGATATAAAGTGTATATCACTTCTTCTATTTGAATGAATTCAAAGAGGCTATCAAATGTAGTATGAAGTATTTAGAGGTATCAGTAGTAGTTAGTAATATGCTAGCATATCCTGCGCCGTGCATATCTCTCTCTCTTAATTTCTTTTAATAATCTTTTCCAGTTGAGATCTGAGGTTAATAAAGTTCTTGAGGTTGCTCGTGGAGGGAAACTGATTGGTTCTAGCTTAGAAGCAAAGGTTTACATCTATACTTCTGACGCGGCTACTTCCTCCCAACTACAGGAAATGTGTGGGGCAATGCATGAGGCAGATTCTTTGCATCGTATATTTATAACATCACAGGTAAAATTCTTTTAAAAACCGTGGCTTCTTATCTTCCATGGAAATTTAATCTTAGACTGAAAATACATTTACTTGGAGAATGCTTTAAACATGCTGAAAATGCCATGTGGTGGGGCTATCGAGACTGGAGAGCAGCTGCTTGAGAATTAAGCTTTCTATCCAAAGATGGCCTATTCTATGGTTTCGTTTGGGGAAGGAAGTAGGGGTGTCAATTTCGGATCACCGGTCGGGTTCTGGTCGAACCTGGAACTGACCCTGCACTATTCAGCTCAACCTAAACCCTCGACCCATTTTTTTGCAAATGGGTCGGTTTTTTGGACTCGAACCCGACCCGCTTCGGATCCGGGTCAACCCGACACGACCCAAATGACCTGGGGCTGACCAAAAATAGTTGGTTTTCGGGTCAAAGAACGGGTAAATCTCCTATTTTTAGGTCAAAATGAGTCAATATCGGGCTTCTGGGTCAAAAATGGGTTAATTTCAGGTTACTGACTCAACCCGAATCCGACCCAGTTTTTGAAACGGGTCGATTTGCACCCGAACCTGACCCGTTTCGGGTCCGTGTTGACCCTAACCCGGAATATTCGGGTCGGTTTCGAGTCGGATTTTTGAGTCATGTCAAATATTGATGCCCCTAGAAGGAAGGCCTAAAGCAATGGTGTGCTTTTTCATGCTTATGAGCATTTAGTTTTTTTGTGGTGGGTGTTTCAAGGTTGGTTTGGAACAGCTGTTAAAACTTCTAATATAATCTAGGGTCCAAGATTTCAGTCATGAAAAATAATCTCTATAAATCTAGGGAAAAGACTGAATATATCAACCCCTTCCAGAGCTTGCATTGGTTGGATCTCGAATACATTTTTATTTTGTTTTTGCTTTGAATGGTTTTGATAGAAGCCAAAGCACCTATTTCAGGATGAAGCTGAGTATGTAGCAATGTGAAAAAAAGTGAATTGCAGCTTCTAGTCCGTCTTGGTTCACTCAACAAATCAAATTCATGTACAACTATCCGAAGCCATTCACAACTTCAATTGCCCTTTGAAAAATTATTTCTTTAGAATACCTTGGACAAGTGAACATGTACCTATTTTTCGAAGGAGATTAAGGCTTCGTTTGGGACAGCTTTCTTATTGCTTCTTAAAGCAGCTTCTTAATATAAAAATTAAATTTTTGTAATAGGAAGCTGCTTTAAGAAGCAGAAAGAAAGCCGTCCCAAACGAAGTCTAAGGCTTTGTTTGGGACAGTTTTTTTACTACTTCTTAAAACAGCTTTTTAGTATTCTACTAAAAAGCTGCTTTAAGAAGCAGTATAAAAGCGTCCCAAACGAAGCCTAACTCGTTTCTGAATCCTAATAGTAGTTCACTCGAAAAAACTGCCAAGGTTGTTTTTGATTATTTTCATAAGAGTTCACATTTTATTTGATATGTTCCTTCATTTTGAAGTAAACTTTTCTTACCGATGAGATGTCGCTTTGGACCCTGTAGGTTGAGGTTTTGGCTGGCCTTGATGAGATGGTTCAAACCGTCCAGTATACTGGATCCTACACCATTCAGGCAAATATTGAGGTCTGGATTGGCGTGTCTCGTGCTGATGGCATGAAATGCGAGAGGTGCTGGAACTATTCTCCTAATGTTGGTATGTTTTCTGAGCACCCTACCCTCTGTTCTCGCTGTAATGCAGTGATCGGTGACAGCCAACCACTTCAAGCTTCAGCTCAGGTTTGCTGAGATCTTTAAAAGGTTAGAAGTGCTTTGAATTCGTCAGCTTCTTTTTTCTGATCCCAATTATTTAAAGTCGGTTTTATTAGTCCCATTCTTCATGAATTCTTGTTAAGGTAAATTACTTTTATTTGATAAGATTCTAAACTTAATAAGCATGTAAAAATAAAAAAAAATGATAAGATAAATCATATTTAATGGGAGAGAAAAGCATTCATGAGCTTTTATTGTACTGTGAATGTTTTAATTGACTAAATTAGGAATTCTGAGCATTCAATTGCCTATTAATGGTTGTAATGTCAAGCTGTTGATTTTATTGTAAGGGATTTTGTTGATGACTAAATTAATAAAACATTTTGTTTTTTTTTACCTGTTTTATGATTTCATATGTTTTTGCTTCAAGTTGCATTTCAACTCCAAATAATCATATTTTTATGCATGTAACGAGTCTCAGAGTGAAATTTCTTGATTTAGAAATTTTGGTATTTAAAAAATGCTTTAGAAAGCAGTAAAAAAGCTGTCCCAAAATAAAATTTTAAATTCTATTTTTAGCGAATATAGTAGCGAAACGAGTGTCTTGGTGAGATGTCTTTTTTATACCAAAATATTTTATTTTTTCTCGAATAACCTTAAATCAAGCATAATTGCAAATTTTATGAGTCCATTTGAGAGTCCAAAATTATCCAAATTTTGTGTGCTTAATAATTGAAATAAGTACTCGATAAGAATAATTTGAAGTTAATTTTGATTTGTCTTGTATCACTCAATACTAATATCTTTTCCGTACTATATGTTAACAAAACTATGATATGATCAAGGGTGATTAATAAGAATCATTTGATGGAGTATTATAATTTTTTATGGGAATGACATGCCTCATCTATAAAAATATATTAATTGAATCGTCTTTAAATTTTGATCAATATATCTTTAATTATTATTCGAGCCTAATTTTGAAATACAAATAATCTTCAAAATATATATTTTTTTTTTTGGGAAATATCAAAATAAATTTCAATAGGTGTGAGCTATAAAGTGAGCTAAGTCTCATGCTTTCATCTTGGTTGCAAGTGGACCTATAGAGCTAAACTTCATTCCGATGGATCCATTGCTCGCTATAAAGCACGGCTCGTTGCTCTCAGAAATCAGCAAGAATACGGAATTGACTACGATGAAACTTTTAGCCTTGTTGCCAAACTTCCCACTATTCGCATTCTTCTAACTGTGACTTTACATCATGGTTGACAAATTCAACAACTTGATGTTGAAAATGCCTTTCTTCATGGAACCTTATCCGAAACTGTCTACATGTCTCAACCCAAGGGATTCGAAAACTCGTCTCATCCTAATCATGTTTGTCTCTTGATCGAGCTCAAGCCAATCTTAGCTAGACTCAACAACTAATCTCGAATATTTATCACCTCATGAAGATTCATAAATAATGGAAAATGAAGATTCATAAAAGACAACCCTATGATTTTTATTATTTTAATTATTGTTTAAAGAGGTTGTGCATCCCTATGATTACTCCTTAATAAATACAAACATATATTTATGGTTTGCCTGTCATCAAAATAAAACTTGAAAAAATCTAATAAATTTTAATTTTATGATTCCTTCATTTTTTTCTCCCCTTGGAATTAACTACAGCATATTCAGTAGAAAGCACAAAACTATTTTTTCATTGCTCCTAAATGCACATATTTCATTATTTAAATGCATGATTTGCATGAAAATATTAGTTAGAAACATTTTAGTTATACAAATTATAAATTCATTGAAAATATTAACAAAAAGTATGTGAAATTCAAAGAAAACAATAAAATTATGATATGTAGGGATTTGTCATTTATGATAATGAGTGGAACCTGATGTCTCATTTTGTGGCTAGGGTGTTCCGTCTTCCTCTTACTCTTCGCTCCGTGGCCGCCCCATGAGTAATATTTTCTCTTGAGTTCCTTTCGTTTTCTCTCCCTCGCTCATTGTGGGCTCCGAAAAATTTCATTTTGTGTGATCCCGGCCTCTCAGTGCCATCAATTTATTTTTCTTTTATTTATTTTGTGTGACGATGAAGGCGATAGAGAGTTTTAATGAGATTAGGTTTAGGGGGAATTTCAGAAGGCGGATTGGGTTTTAGATAAGATACTAACCAGAGATTTTGCCCTCATTTTGTGAGGACTTTTTTATTTGAGTTCTGGTTTCCTATAGGCGCAAGCCCCTATAGTTAATTACCCCTCCTGATAACCGGAGAGAACTTTCGATTAAGGCTAGTTATTAAAGGGGTCGAATAGGTCATAAACCTATTGTATAATAGCAATAGTTTTAGGGTTTTGAATTTGATCTTATGATTTAGATTTTGAAATTTGGATTTTAGAGTTTAACACCATAAACTTAAAACTGGTGGTGGGGGGAATGAAGACGAGCCCGATCAAGATCTTATGGTTCCGTCGTCCCGGGCTGTCATGATCCCTAGTCTACTCAGTCAGAGGAGGTAGTCGTCCCAACCTAACAGAAGACATCTTATCGGCAGCCATGGGTTGCTTCGTCCAAGAATACCTTGTAGACATGGGTTGATGTTTGTCTAAGGCGATATGTCTGAATCCACCTTAGCTCATAGAGGGATTTATGCCTATCAAATATACCCTATGATTCATAACTCAAAGGTTTGACGCCTTTAGGGAACATACGGGCTTTGACTGTGATCGTAATATAATGATGTCATTTTGCTGCAAAATCACCCGATCAGAGGGCACGTTCCACGTCCCTGTTGGCAAGAGACTATTTGAGGATGAATCATAGTTATACACCCTATATTCATTCGCTCTTTGTGAGCTGAGGTTAGTTTCAAATTTATCACCCCAGACAAACAATTGCGGGAGGTGGATGATTTTTAGTTTTAAGTTTTTAGGTGATATATTTCATTTCAAGAATTTGAATTGTTATTTGATTTAAGATTTAACCCATCCGGTTGAGATTTTCTATCAACATGGCCATCATCGGGGTGACATGAAGGTCACTTATATTTTTGTAGAATTTTGGGAGGCATTTTATATTTCAAATTGTGTCAACTCCAGTCCTTTCAAGGAGGAGAATGAAACTTGAATATTTAGCCTGCGCAGCATTCTCAAATCATTAGATTTAGGACTTATATGTAATGATTGGAGCGCATGCAGGTTATAGTATTTGACCCTGGGCAGCATTCTCGGTCATTGATGTTTGTACTTTAACATGTTGACCGGAGCACATGCAGGGATGTATTTAGTTCAATGGATCATATTTAATACATAAGGGGCATTTTAAAATATTTAAATATGATCCATTGCGCAAGTGATTTTTACTTAGAAAATAGCCAGGGATTTCATTTAAGGGCATACAAATGCCTCTGTCCGCTTGTACACATGTTGCGGATCCGGTGACATTACTTTCGATGAATTTTGCTTCAGAAAAGATGTATTTTGGCATTTCAAATAATTTTATCTTCTTTATTGTCATTTGACACAATTCCTAGAGGAGATTTGCTCAACAGATGCTACGAGATTTGTGTTCTTACTTGTGAGCAGGCTACATCATTAGTCATGAATTTCTTAGTGCTACTTGCATGCTAATTATGTGCACTATCATTCCCTTACTCCTGCTTATAAGTTAATGGTAACACAAACTAGAAGTTCCCCGCTTCTAGTCTAAGACATGCTAATTTATTTTGTATGAGCTTCTCATTTATACCTGTAGCATAATCATAGAGCACACTACAAATTCTCTTGCTTCCATTTAAAGGTAAATTTTAGTGCGTCTTATTAATTTTCCAAAGAACTTTGTCAATTGAAAATTTAATCATCTTTTGACAACTTTGGTTATATATGAAGGGATCTCAATATCATAAACCAAAGAAGATGCTCAAGAAGTCTGATTCGAACATTGAATTATGAACTTAACCGTTATTTTATTAGTTTAGCCCAATACAATGTATGTTGGATTTAGTGATTGTATGATTTAAATTTGACTTTTAAAATAGCTTTTGAATATCATTTAATCACAATCATTTTAGAAATCATTCTTCATTGTCATTTCATTTTTTTTTACATAATGTAAGGGTCTTTTAATTGTTTAAATTTTAGTTCAAGTCTTTTGTTCAATAAAGCTCAATTTCATATAATTTTAAGTCCCTTGCTTTCACTGGAAATTTCGACAACCTCCCGGCGTTCCCTCCCCGATGCCGGGAGGTAAGGAATATGCTCGACTCAACCGGAACGAATCAACGGCGAGGAGATTAGGTCTTCATATTCTCCACTTGACGACCATTATCGATGATCATTGGAAGATCACTGTTGATTGCATATTGCCGATAATTGTCGATTGAGACGATTGCTTGTTGTTGGTTGATTGTATTAATTAATTAAATAATTATAATTAAATTTAAATTTTAATTTAATAATTAATTCCAAATTAAATCAGTCCACATTTCTCTAATCTTTCAAAAATTTGGCTAAGTCTCAAATTTTTCAGAAAATTTCGTCAGCCTCCCGGTGTCCCCTCCCCGATGCCGGGAGGTAAGAGAGTGGCTCTCGACTCGGCCGGATCAAATGGACGGCGAGGAGATTTGGGAGAGCGAATCGATCCCAAAATGAGTCTTCGAATCTTCTAATATGCTCGATCTGCTGATTAAATAATTTAAATTAATTGATCAAATAATATATTTAAATCATTACTAATTTAATTATTTTTGGTTGATTGATTGTTCTCCACTTTTCTCAAAAAATTCGTATAACTCCAAAAATTTCTAAGTCTTGAATTTTTTTGAGAAAATTTCGACAGCTTCCCGGCGTCCCCTCCCCGATGCCGGGAGATAAGGGAGTGCTCGACTCGGCCGGATCAAATCGACGGCGAGGAGATTTGGGAGAGCGAATCGATCCCATTAATGGTCTTCGAAAGGTCCTTTAATGTGCGCAACCTGCTAAGTTAAGCAATTAAATTTAATTTTTTAAAAAATATTTTTGGTCCACTCAAAAATTCGGCAGCCTTCCGACGCCCCCTCCCCTCGCGGGGAGGTTGGGGAGGGCACTTGCCCTTTGGCTCGACTCGGCCGGAGCGAATCAACGACGAGGAGATTGGAAGAGTTGTGTCTGCGCTCCCTCGGCCGGATTAACTCGACGACCACGGGCTTCGGGGGACCGGATCAACCCCGGGACTTCCTTCGAGGTCGACGGAGTCAGTGTCGGGTGTCGAAGGCTTGGAGGCCGGCGGTGTTGGACGCAGAAGGTCGGGTTGGAGGAGGCTGGTCGGAGGTCGTATGCAAGATCGACGTTTAGAGTCGAAAACCAGAGCGACAGATTGCAAGGAGGCGGCGGCTATGTGCGAACGAGAGGGAGATCGGAAGAGGGCTTCGTTCTTCTGAGTTGAGTCTTCCGAAAACTTCATCTTTTTCTATCTACGTTTCTGAGAGCGTTTCTGTGTGCGTGAGAGAGAACCGAATGAGAGGAAGCCAGTGTTTTGTCGTGAGGAGTGATTTCTGCCGAGAGGAGTGCGATCGTGGGCGGTTATGGGATCAATCATGGCTGAGGTGGAATGAGAAGTTAAGTGCCGTGGGTTCTGTGGTTTCAGTTAGAGCCACGGGGTTAATGGCTTGGTTTGAATGGAGGTTTTGGGTTTGGCCGAAAGTTATATAGGTCAATACTCATTATCCTGGTGGTTATGGCTGTTAATCGATTTATTGACCCGATTTTCTGAACGGAAACGGAAAGGCCTAAACGCACTCTTTCCGGGAGGCTCTGGTTGGGTCTTCTTCGCTGCCAGAATTTTTTGATCTCAAAATCAGCTTTGCAATGACCTTCATTCTATTTGGATTTCTGATGTTGAGATGTTGGCCTTGGCTGCTCCGTTTGAATTTGCATTGGTTGGGAAGTTTACTAGTCGGCGTCCATCGCTTGAATCGATTCATAAATTTTTTTCCATCTTAAGTTAAATGGTGAATTTTCTGTTACTGTGCTTAACTCTAAGAACATTTTGATTAATCTTATGAACGACCTAGACTGCTGTAGGGTTTTTTTGTCATCGCTCTTATTTCGTGAATAATTGCTATATGAAGTTGTTTAAGTGGTCACCTCTATTTGACATTATTATTGAGTCCCTTGCAATTCCTGTATGGGTCTCTTTCCCTAATTTGTGTCCGCACCTCTTCTCCCCTCGTGTGCTTCATGGTCTTGGCTCTCTGTTTGGTCGTCCGTTGCGTATTGATAATGCCACTTCTTTTGGGTCTAGGCCCTCGGTTGCCGGCATTCTTGTCCAGTTAGACATTACTGAGCAGTTTTCGGACCAAGTGTGGCTTGGTTCTGAGAAGTTTTATTATATCCAACAAGTGGAGATGGAAGAGTTTCCCTTTTATTGTTCTCTTTGCAAAGCATTGGGTCATTCTAATGTTGGTTGCCTAATTCTACATCCTCATTTAGCTATTAAGCCTGCTAATCCTACGGTCTCTGTTGATGTTCTTACCTAGCAGCCTTTAATTGTTTTTTAGGGTAATTTTACTGTTCCCGAGGTTAATTTACAAGTTAATTTTACTTCGGTTTGTGAGGCTTCTTTGCCTGAAGGGCCTGTTGCCCTATCTCATGGTCCTGAGGTTAATTTACACGTTAATGGTCCTCCGATTTTTGTTGCATTTTTGCATGCTGGGCTTGTTGCCCTGTCTCATGCGGTAGGTGTTCCTATGAATCATATTGTTGCTTTTAACTTAGTTTGTTTGGGTGATACTAATGACGTGACGGGTAATGCTTTACTTCTCGATCCTTCACCTAGGAGTGTTGCTACTCCCTTGCGAGTGCAAAATTTGATGGAGGAGAATATTGTTGCCTGTGAGGTTAATAGGGTAGTTGAGCAGGAATTATCCAGTGTTTTGGCTCATACTGTTTCTCATTTAAACTCTCATGATTTGGCTTTAATTGTAACGCTTGTGGGTCAGAATTGTTCTATGGTTGATTGCGTAGTGGAACCATTGGTTTGTACCTTGGTGACACCTCCTTTACAATTGGCTGGCCATCTTGTTGAGGCCCTGTGAATTTAATTTCTTCTCATGCTTTGATTTCCCATGTGGATGCCAGCTCGGGAGTTAGGATGCAAATAGATTGGCTCGACCATTCTTCCCTTTCCTCTTCTGAGTTTGAAGAAAGGGAATATTTTGATTAACAAGATATTGTGCGTGATGATAATGTTTGGGCTGGTAAACGTAGAAAGTGGAAATCCAAAAAATAATGTTGTTTTGGTTTCCCTCTATTGGTCTCTTTTATGCTACTGCCTTTTTAGTTTTCAATCAGTTTTATTTGGGCGATGATGTGGCTCGGGCTCACCACTCTGTATCCGTGGTTCGTTGGCAACCATTTGGGGTGTTTATTTGGTTCTCTTCAGTGCTGGCGATTTTTTGGCTCTTTCGTGGTATTTATACGGCTATATTTCGTTCAAATTTTATAAATAAATAAATAAATAAATAGGTGCTGCTTAATTTAGTTAAACTCTTAAAGTTCAAAATTATATATATATATATATATATATATATATTATAGGCTATTTATGTTTTTATTAAATAAATTTTTTTTATTTTTTTTACGATAATGGTGATCGTTCGTGATTTTTTTTTTAATTTAACAAGAAATTTTATTCCATAAAAAGGAAGATATAGTCATTCAACGAAACATGAGCAAACAACGGCTAAAGAAAAAAATACACAATGGAGCAACCGACTAGAAAAATAAAAGGGGAATCATCGAAGCGGGCTCAAGTAGTGGTGAAATACTGCGACCACTCAAACAATAGACAAGGGGCCTCCAATGGGCAAGCAACAAGCCAGCAAAATCAAATCCTACACAAAGACTAGTAAGAAGCCACTAGTAATGGATGCCAACAAGCCATACGAACAGATAGTACGGCCTCATCATTGCCCATATTAAAAATCTCAACCACACCAAACAATCTAATGAAAAATAGGTGCAAATTCAAAACCAAAGAGCCAGACAAATCATTTGTGATGGTTGGCAGTATTACGGAGAGTGATGAGTACAACCACTTATGACGGTGGTTGCAGGTTAGGCCCGTGGTAGTTAAAAGACAATGATAGTAGTTGTTATGGCAGCTGCATTAGCTATGGTGATGATAATGGTGTCAGTGGCCAGTGGGTGACGATAAAGATAGTTGCGTTAGTGATTACTTGAGGTGGGGTGGCTATTGATGATGATGGTTATTATTTTTAAAAAGTTTTAAAACATCTAAAATATAATATTTTTTAAAAATAATTTAATTTATTTTTAAAAATTAATATAAAATTAATTAAAACAAATTCATTAAACAAACACTTTTTTTTAAAACAATAGTAAAAAAATTAAAACTGTCAGACATCACCCTATTTAATAAAGAACTAAAAAGTTATTTTCAATGTCTCTTAAATACGCAAGTAACTTCAAATGCGTCTATAATATGCGACAATTTTGCACAATCAGAGCGCTCGTTCAATTTCTTTGCCTTCTTTCCTCTCTTGCTTTTCAATCATGGCTGCCTCTTTGTCTTCTTCTGTCACCCACATCTCCGCCTATGCTGCCATTGACGCTGTCATTAAAGAAGAGATCCCGGTCATCGACATGTCCATCTTAAGAAACGCGACACCCAATCAACGACCACAACTCATTCAGGAAATTGGACAGGCCTGTAAAGAGTGGGGATGCTTCTCGGTAGGTGACTGCTCGAACAATTTTTTTTTTTTCACTTGCTTTAATTGTCTAACTGAAATCTTTATTTTTTGTGCTATTGTAATGAATCAGTTGCAATTAACTTCAAGCAGTTAATTATTAAGTAGGTGGGCGAGGTTGGTTAATTAGAGTGCTAGTAGCTCATCTTAGTCTATTTGTTGAGAGCTTTGACTTTTGATATAGTGGATTAGTGAAAAAATTGATCTGCTAGAAGAAACACTAAAAATAAAAGAGAACTAACACAAGCTTAAAGTTAGAAAAGAATATAATATTCTTCCTCCCCCTTCTTCCTACAACCTTCTATATATGCTATAACTTTGTTTGGGACGATTTTTTATTGCTTCTTAAAACAGAGTTTTAATACAAAATTTTTAATTTTTGTAAAAAATTTTGTACTAAAACTCTATTTAAAAAAGCAGTTAAAAAGTCGTCCCAAAGGAAGCCAATATCAAAAGTGATTTCTAGAACTTTCTAGAAAAATATGTAAGAAACGAGATAAAATATTCCTAAGGAAAACTTAAGTTAAGATGTTCTACATCAACTAATAATTAAGAGGTCTTGCGCTTGAAGTTTGTCTATGTGATATGTATATGAATTTTTTTAATTGGCTCAAAAAAATATAAAAAAAGGAGTGCTAATGAATTAAGTTAATGTTTTTTTTTTGGGAAATTAATTAAGTTAATGTTGCAGCTTATAAATCATGGCGTGCCTGAGAGCTTACGAACGTTAATGATGGAAGCATTTACTGAATTCTTTGATTTGTCGGAAGAGGAGAGAAGAGAGTATTTGGGTAAGAGGATATTAGACCCAATCAGGCATGAGATGGGCATTTCAACAACGGCGGAGGGGGAGAAATATTCGAGAGATTTTGTCAGGATTTTCGTCCACCCGGCCATGCACTCCCCATCAAAACCTCTACATTTCAGGTATTTTCTGGCTTTTAAATTAGATAAAAATTATATTATAATATTACCACTAAAATTTGATAAGAATGAATGTAAAGTTTTTAGATTTATTTTATGATATATATAATATATACATACGTAGTATATATTGCACTAATATTAAAATAAATAAATAAATTTAAAATCCATTCATCTTGATAACATTTTAGTAATATTTTTATATAAATTCTTCCTATTAAATTACTTCTTCTTGTTCTTTATGTATAAGAAAGCATATTTTGTGAAGTATTTATTATCTCTTATTTGTCTTATTTAACAAAATTGTCTATTATGCTCAACTATATATGCAAAATCATTCATAAAACCATTTCTTCTAATATTAGAATATTCTAATAAAAAAATTATTCTAGTTGAGTCCCAATACTATTTAATTTATTTTGAAATTAATATAATCTATGAATAATTAGTGAAAATTATATTACATTCATATCAAAATAAATAAATATATTTGAAATTCATTCTCATATAAAAATTTGATCAAAATATTCTAATAACTTTTTATTTTATTTTTGCTTGAATCTAGAAAAAGTTGTAAAATCATAGTTTAGCTTCTGACTGCCTATTTATCCGGTTAATCTTTCTTTATCGGGAATAAATTATTTTGTAGATAATATATTCTTCTAAAGGGTAAAACCATTTTGTCTGTGGGATGAATAACATTAATGCCTGATATTAAAATTTATGTGACAAAATATTATTGATATACACCTAATGCAACGGGCATCTACAACGGCCTACAATGGTTTTAAAAAGAAATTAATGACGGTTCTAATTGCTGGTATAACTCAAATATAGTATTGTGATAGTCATATTTTTTAATAGTACAAGCAAATTAGCATTCACTTTCATAAATAAATGTAAAAAAGAAATTCATCAGTATAAATATTCTTTGACACATAATGAACACCATGAACGAAGGAGTGTAATTACATATCTTTAATTCCAATATTAGAGCAATATTAGAAGAATATGCAAGACAAACTAGAGAGATCGCCAACGACCTATTGACCGCCATTGGAGAAAGCTTAGGGCTCGATGAAAGTTACATGGAGAAGGCCTTAGATCTTGCAAATGGCCATCAAATTCTGGTTGGAAATCGCTACCCTCCAAGCCCCCAAGCACATCAACTAGCTTTGGGTCTATCTGCTCATTCGGATACTCCTCTACTCTCAGTTGTCATGCAAAACGGCAGCATTCACGGCCTCCAAGTAATGCACAATGGACGGTGGATCCCTGTCCAGCTCATCCCCGGCTCATTCTTCATCCATACAGGAGATCTCTTGGAGGTACGCATATATTCCACGTTATATATACAAATGAAATTACCCGAGTTCGATTCCCTTGAGCAGCAGTCGCTCGCCGGCAGCAGGTACAGTGGCGTGGGTGGCTTGGTTGGTCGGCCGGGGTTTACGGACCGCCCAGCGCTCGGCGAAGCCGGGCGTGGCAGCGGACCTTTCCTCGTCACTAAAATAAATAAATAAATAATATTTCGATGCATCTTGCAACAGATAGTAAGCAATGGGAAGTACAAAAGTTTGCTGCATAGGGTTATGCTGGATGAGAGGAGCACGAGAATCTCTGTTGTGACTGCAATGGGGCCGCCGGTGGAAAATATTGTAGCTCCTGCGCCTAAGTTGGTTGAAATTGTCAGCAAAAACTCGGTTTTTCCCAGCATCAAATACGTGGACTATGTTGAACTCGTCAAATACAATCCATTTGGGAAATCGGTTCTCGATCTCCTTAGGATATGAACATGCAGCTATTGTAACAAAAATATTGGAGGACTTCTAATATAAGATATGTAAGAATTATAATGCGAGGTTGTTGAATTTTCTAAATTTTCACTTATAATGTCAATTTCAAGCTTGAATGAAAAAGTATGGTATTTTTCAGATTAGAAATTTGTGATTCTGCAGATAAATAATTCTGCCACCGCCATTGTTTTAGTGAGATGTATTGTTTGGTAGCACGTGTTTTAAAATGACGGGTTCTCTTGAACTATTTTAGAAAAATAAAATAACAGTGTCAGGATATTCAGCTAATTTAAATTATGAGATTAGTGCTACATCTAAATAATTTAATTTGCATTAATTTATAATTTATATCCAAATATCCTAATATCATTTTTATTTTTTTAGAAATTAAGTTATATTTAATCCACGCATAATAAAATCATCATATTATAAAATCAAAGTTTGTTTCATTTTATCATAACATAATAATTGTTGCGTTCTGGAATATTCGTGGTAATAGAAAAATATAAACTTTAGCATCCTAGCTTTGTACAAAGATCCAACACACAAACAAATGAAAGAAAAAGGTGTAGTGTTCATAAGAGACACCAAATTTTTTACATGAAAACGTACCTCTGAAAAGGGGGAAAAATCGCGGGGCTTTGTCCAGTTTAAATGAATCCACTTGTGTTTGCAATTGATTACAAATGAGGCTCTTCCTTGGGGGGGAGGCCTTGGCTTGATGTAGTAAATATACATCATATATAGTGCATTACATGATGGGGGTTGAGAGAATCAGTGTTGACATGTTCGTTTGGTCAGCGGGATTATAGTCATCAAGCGATGTATATGGCTGAAGGACCGTAGACGGACCACGGTGGTCAGAAAGACTATAGTCGGGTAATGGTAGTAGGAAAGATTGTAGCTGGGCGAGGGTGGTAGGAAGGACCATAGTTGGCAGGCGACGAAGGTCGTAAAGATCATTGTCGGGTGAGGTTGGTCGAAAGAACCATAGTTGGCATATAACGAAGGTCGAAATGACCGTAGTCAAGTGACGGTGGTCGGAAGGACGATAGTCGGGTAACGGTGGTCAGAATGGCCGTGATCAACGGGCAACGGACGTCCGAAAGACCATAGTCAGGTGACAGTGGATGAAATGATCTTAGTCAGGCAACAAAGGTAAAAAAGATTGTAGTCGGCGAGCAACAAAGGTCGGAAAGATCTTTGTCGAGCGATGGTGGCCAAAAAAATCGTAGTTGGGCGACAGAGGTCGGAAAGACCTTAGTTTGGAGATGGTGGTTGGAGAGACTATAGTTGGCGAGTAACGGTGGTCGGAAGAACCGTAGTCTTGCGACGATTGGTGGCCAAGAGAAAATCCAGAGACAATTGGTGGTCGGGCGTAAGTCTGACAATAGTTGGTAGTCAGGTGGAAGTTTGACCAAAATCCGATGACGGTTCGTGGTCGGGCGTTAGTCGAGGAGAAGCTGGGTGGCAAGAGAGATATTAGATTTGTCTTCCTTCTTCTTCTTCTCCTTCCTTTCTGTCCTTGCTAGGTCCATTTTCATTGAAAAATGAATGGTCTATTTATAATTTTCTAGGAATGACGACATGACCAGTAAATATGGAGAAAATCAAGGGCATGTTGAAAGTATTTTGAATGAACGGCCGCTATCGACTCCCTTCATTATAGACCATTTATCGAGTATTTAAGTGTCTTAATGATGTTAGAATTCAACGATCTTAGGCTCGTTGGATTTGTCTCTTCGAGCCGCTCGATTCGACTATAAGCATGTCATGTTTCAAAATTATTTTGTCATCTAATTTATGATTTGAGCCTTCCAAATGCTTCGGGTCCTTGATTTGAACTCATTTGGGCTCGGATTGGGCTGAATTAGGCGTCATTTGGTACGTCTATTCTAGACATTCAGTTCGACTATAAGTTTACTGAAATTGGAGTTCATATGACACTAGATTTAATTTCGAAAGTTTCTAATGCGTTTTTATCTTGAGATTCGTGCTAGTCAAGATAATTTTTTGATGATATATCAATAATCAACTAGAAATTAAGCAGTAAGTACGTACCTCAAAGATGTCTCCTACGTTAACAAAGAAAGAGCTTGGAGTAGGTCCAACAACGACCCATCTGTCTCCTGCCAAAAGTTTGAACTTTCTAGCACTGCTTGGGCTCAACGTTTGCACTGCGTCGCTTGTTATCAATTTACTTTTCCCCAAAGCTTTCTTATTTTATAATGTAGCTTGAATTAAGTCAATTGGTGATTTGCTTCTAGTAGTTTTTGTTTGAATTAGCCTCAAGTTATCATTTCATCAAGTTGGATTAAGTATTCGAATAACCCAAACTGTGTTTGGATGAGGCACGAGCAAATGAGAAACAATCTTGTTCTCTATTTATATATGATGAGAGTATGATGCATTGCTTCTATTAATTTGGCTCTAATCTTCTATTAGGTATTTTAATCGCTTAATCTCTCAAGCATTAATGTTATGTTCATTGTGCATTAAACATGGATTGATTTACACATAAGGTATAAACTTCTCTCCAGTGATGCAAACTTAATTACTACTAAAATATGAATTAGTCGTTGGTAACTTTTAGATATTAAATTAGCAGTGAGCATGGGTTCAAATGTTCAATACTTAGGAGCTGTTTAGTTTATTACATTTAGAGTGTAGAGTAATCAAAATGTAGAGGTTTTGATAATTTGGATGTTTAGTTGAATGAAAAACAAATTCAATGAAAGGTAAAATAAATACAGTGTATTCCATTCTAATTCATTTTTGGTGTATTTGGAATTCCTCCAATTTGGGCGATTTCCAAATACACCGCAAACTCAAGGGCATTATCACCCCTCGTTGACCTGAATTGACATCGTTGTGCAAGTGCAACACATGAAGAGCGGCAACAGTTTCTTTTGCAAGAGAAAGATGAGAAGGGATCAGACTGAATAGGCAGGCCTAATGCCAACTCTGTTTGTAGACACGGTAGATAAAAAAATTAGCTTTATATTGTATAATTAAATATTATTAACTAAAAATTTAATATTACTACCTAAAAATTTAATATTGTTCATAGTATTAAAAATTAATTAAAAAATATGTGGTTTCGTTTGGGGCAGCTTTTTATTATTTTTTAAAGCATTTTTTTAGAACAAAAATTATATTTTAAGAAGCATGAAGAAAGCGGTTCCAAACGAAGCCTTAATTATGACTTGTTGTTATTTTATGTTTTTGATTGAAGCCCATATTCTAGAATAATCTATTATAGAAGATGCTAGAAACCTATTATAATGTAATTGTTAGAAAGGCCTAAAATAACATTTAATGTCAAAAGAAAATTAAATGTAATTGTTAGAAGCCTTAATTATGGTGATGCCTTTTGTATCAAGAAAAAAGTGAGTAATAAAATTTGTAGGATCTTTCGTCCTAGAGCATATTGTATTGATGATTGGGAGAGAAGAAGCCATAAAGATCATTCACTTTATTCTCTCTCGTGATCTAGAGTACTTTGATATATTAGAGTATAACCATCATACGATTATAATATATATAATACTAATAATTTGTATAAAAAAATATAAAAAAACAAACACGGTGGCGTTGCACATAAAAAAAATTAAGATCATATTCAATAATACAATCTAATTATTCGACACAATCAAATTTCACAAAAACTAACCTTCTCTATACTTGGATGATTTAAAAACAGGGGATATTCTTACATATATATTTTTTTTTATTTGCATCACATGAGCCGATAATTTGGTTTTGTTGCTTCTTGGATACTTTTATAAGAAATTCCTTTATTATACAAATTATGCAACCCAATTGTCCCAGGGATGCTGATATTCCATGTTAAGATTCCTAAAAAAATAGACAAATAAATCATAAAGATATAGCAACCAGTTCAGAGCAAACAGTAGAAAAACTTATCATAATCAAATGTTTTATTTTGATATTTTTTAGGATAATTTTTTTACTATTTTATAAAATTATTTTTTAGAACAAAAATTTCATGAAATTTAAATTTTTGCTCCAAAAATCTGCTTTATAAAATAATAAACAAATTGTCTCAAATGAAACTTTATTTTAATAAACTATTTATTTAAATTTGCAAGCTTTGGTTTGTTGTCGCTACATAACATATGAGCATCTTATTAGATGGGAATCGCATCTTTTCTCTTGGAGGAAGCAGGTGGATCTTAATCCATTATCCTCTCTAGATAATAGAAGAGATCTAAATTTGTAGGGTCAGCATAGAAAGATAAATCCACACTAACGTAAATTACTTTGTTAAGCTCTCGCTATCTCAAACCATACTATGCTCGAATGTTAATAAATAAGTCGAACAAGTGGTGGAGAAGATTAATGAACAGATTAATACGAACATGAGGTTCAGAAATATCAAATTGTATTCGTTTGTTGATGGCAGTATCTATTACGAATAATGTAAGAGGGGAGGAAAAAGATAAGATGCCATTGATGAACTATTAAACTAGTTCTGTAACAGTGAAGTACACGACAGAAAGGGGTGCGCAGAAGAAGAGGTGACCGTGACTAAGGAGATGAAGATAGTCCTCAATTTTAATATGTTTTATATCTAACAGTATTGTTCCATGTCGATGAGTGTATCAGTCTAAGAGATTGGTTGATCAAAAGGCCTGTTGCCTGTTGGGAACAAAGCTGCCACCGCCCCCGCCCCACACACACACTTCACAAAACGGAAATTAACACTATGATTTAACATGAAAAACTTTAAAATTAGAAATAAAAAAAATCATGAAGACATGTCACACTAAAACTTTTACTTTATAAATTTGTAGAAATTATACAAGTCTCTTGCTCTCTCACTCTCTCCTTAGCTCACTTCACTTCATTTCGTTTTATCTCAGAACTAACAAAGAGATACACTTCTACAATATTATGATTTGCGGTAGATTTGTGATGGGCATTACGACGGAAAATCTATGACTAAAGCAATGTATGTGTGTCGATATTATTCTTGTTGATAAGACTAAAGAGGGAGTTAAAGGTAAACTTGAATTATGAAGGCCAATCTTAGAG